AGTCTGTGTGGCCTCTGGGTCGGCTCGTCAGGGGCGCTGGCGATGCAGAACGGGCGTTGGGCGTACGCCCAAAGCCTGGACGACGTCTTGCCCCCCCGGCTCCTGGCTGACCTCCTGGTGCCTCCTGGGGGCGCCGCCTTCCGAGAAGACGTGCTGCGGGCGTGTGCCTCCTGCGCCCGCCCGGGCCTTGCGCGCCTGGTGTCTGCCGTGTCCAGGCCCGGGTGGGTTCGGTGGCAAATCATGGGAGCCTTGTGCACCCTCGTAGTTCCGCTTCTCGAGCGCACTGGCGTCGACCAGGGTCGGGTAATCGATGGGGTCGTCCCGAGTTCGCGTCGACCAGCGCCATTTTCGCATCGATTGGAGTCGGTTGGCGTCGATCCGCAAAATCCGACAAGACGGTATGGGAGGCCCCCGTGATGGGCCGATTCTCCACCACTGCTACCATCGGCAGCAGAATGCGGAGGAGGAGGAGGAGGAGGAAGCGGAGGAGGAGGAGGGGGAGGAGGAGGACCTCCCTATCCTCATTTGCCCCCGTGGTAGTGGTGGTGGAACATTGGCCCATCACCCTGTGACTTGCCACAGAAGGAGGTAGGGGAACGAAGAATGGCATAAACATAAGAACTCTGAGGTCCGCGCGAATTTCTCGGATCCGCGCTGGACCCCCCTGGCGGCGCCCCCGGCGCCGCCCCTGGCGCGCTCCGCGCGACAGGGAGGAGGGTCCAGCGCCGATCCGAGACATTCGCGCGGACCTCCGAGGCTTTGTGCCCACGCCATCCCTCGCTTCCCTGGGGAGGGCCAGCGGAGGCCCCTCCCCCGCGGCCGCCCCCAGGTCGTCGAGCGGCAGGCGGAGGCCGCGCGGCTGGAGCTGCGGCCCCTCCGACCGACACCCTGGCCGCCGCCCCCTCGGAGGCCTGGGGGCGGACACCAGCGCCCAGTCTCGAGGCAAGACTCGAAGAAGAAGGAACGGCACAATCATACAGTGGGGGGGCCCATGCCAAGAAACACCCTGCTTGCCTCCAGGGTGCCCTGGGTTTCTTGGGTTTCGATGGCTCTGCGATGGAAAACCCGACGTTGCCACACCGAGAATCGATGGACGTCCTGGGATCTCAGGGTTGGGTTTCTTGTGGAAGGTTCCTTCTGGACGACTGGCCTCTACTGTAAACAGAAAATTTCGGCGCTCCGTGCGGATTTCTTGGATCTGCGATGGCCCCCACCCCACCCCACGGCGGCGCCTCCGGCGCCGCCCATGGCGCGCTCCGCGCGCCGCCAGGGGGGTCCAGCGCGGGTCCAGGAAATCCCGACGGACCTCCAAAAGTTTATGTTTAATTATGTGGCTTTCGTTGCTCCAAAGACGATTTCGATCTCGGTGAGGGTAGGAACATTCGGGCTTCACAGGTTGCCGAAAGATTGCCACCAGGTGCCAAGTCTAGGACCATCTTCCCCTGGCGGAGGCGGCCCCCTGTGTTGGTGTTGGTGCCATTTGCGAGCAGCTGCTTTGCGAGCAGTGGAGCGCGCTTGTCTAACCTGAAGTCGGGCATGTCCCTCTACAGGAGAAGTATTCAAACATAGTCAAACAATAGTCTGGGGACGATTTTTCTGTTATCTTTGACTAGTTGTTAGTTCTTTTTTATGTGTCTTCTAAAACCCGCCTGTAGGATGACATGCCTGAGATGCGAGCGGATCGAAGGGGCTATTGTTTGTCATCCTCTGGCGAGGATTAGCCGTTATCTAGGCCAAATTACCCCCCCCCCCTGGGGTAACGCTAGCGATCTTTCGTAGGGGAGGGGCTTTGATCCCTCAACACATGCTGGCGCGCGCGCGCATACAATGGCGATCGTAGGGCACCCCCACCCCGACGTGCCCCTCCCCGCCCAGGCGTTATCGTCACCCAGGGCTCCCAGCCCACTCCCCCCCCCACGGGCAGGCACCGTTGTCAGAAATACAATCCACCCGCACAGTAATGATGGGCGATTCTTCTTAGGGCCCCCTCGCATCCTTGACTCCTCGGTCCATCCTTGGCCACTTTCGCTGGCCGCGCACCGCTCCAAGGCCTTCCCAATCCTTATCGTCCATCCCTACGATACGGGTAGACTGCAATGGGCAACAGCATCCAGGAGATCTGCAAATCTTGCCGACAGCCGCATTAACCATGTACAGGCCGCTCGCGATTGTTCAGACTCGAGGAGGGGGCTTTTGGTTCCGTCTGATGGCATCGGCGCCTGGAGTCAGCATTGGACGTGTCGCGCACCACCACCCTTGATTCCTGGGCTAGTTACATTCAGATAGGTATCGGAGCCCCATCAGAAGTTGAAAAGGCGAGGAGGTCATACAAAAACAACTCGTTCTGGGCGGTCGCGGCCTCGCGCGCGGCGCCGAGGCGAAGTAAGTCGTAGCGGTGGGAACGGACGCGCGCGGCCGCACAAACTCTACACACACGCATATATACATGCACATTCATGTTATTGCATGTGTATAGAGTTGTATATACTTCCATATATGTGTGGCTACACATGTACATGTATATAGGTGTGGATGCACTGTTATATAGGTACGTGCAATTTCACATACATGTACCGATATACGCAATTATGTGTATCATGTGTACATATATACGAAAACGTATAGTTTGATCCATGTGTATATACAGGTATGCAAAGATTCACATGTACATGTACAGATGTCTTTTGGTTTATCCTGACATTCCAATGGCTTATGAATCTCAGAAATATGCTGAGGAGACTCCGTGGTCACCTTGATCACTTCTGGGGCCATCCTGAGGCTTTTCGGGTCCATTCCAGATGCAATCTTGTATCAACGAAGTCTGCCCTGACCCATCTTCGAGGCAGGCTAGGGGTACCTGGGACTTTCGACGAACCATCGAGGACCATCTTGGACGCTGTGACGACCTCTGGTCCCCCTGGACTGGACCTCCTCGGAGGGGGTGGAAGGGGCAAACCTCCAAAAGAAGAGGAATGAGGGGTTGTTTTGGAAACGCTGGCACCTTGGATGGCTTCTGCCCAGAGCGTTCGTGGATTTGTTGTACCATTTCGGCGGGGGGCACTCCGTGTCCCAGTCTTGCTCCCCGTCTTTCTTGGTCCGAGTTGCACTGTGCTCCCCTTTTTCGGTATGTGTCCAGCACTTTCCGGACCATATCCCCGACCCTTGACGAACATTAGGCCTCGGTTCCAAGATTTGTCCTCCGTTGTTTTCACCGCCCCGGTTATTTATTTTTTCAGTTTCAGGCCACTGTGATTCTTGTTTGGTCCCACCCCTCTCGAGGCCATGCCCCGAACACCATAAACGTTTGTTGTTGTGCCGGTTCCAGGGCACGCAGATGTAAAGGTAAAACGTCTGTCATGCAATTCGCTAGACGTTTCGCGTAGCCGCACCAGCCCATCCAGAAGCGAGCCCAGGCGAGTTCTCTTGATCAGGGGCATGGATGTAGTGGAAGAATAATGGGCCAGGAAGGCCGTCATACCAGAATAGGGGGAGGATGGAGGACGAATCGGAGGAGGAGGAGGAGAAGGAGGAGGAGGAGGAAGGAGGGGGAGGGGGGTGGAAGGGAGGGGGGAGGAGGAGGAACAGGCGGAGGAGGAGGTGGAGGAGGAAGAGGAGGAGAAGGGGGAGGAGGAGGGCAAGCATAATGGCCAGAGGCCTCTTGGATTCCTCTCGGAATTTCTTCGGATGTCGCTTGAAAGCTTCTTGAAGTCCGCTTGGGGCGTCTTGAGGACCTCTTGGCGGTCCTGGGGGCCATCTTGGAGCGTCTTGCAGTCTCTTCGGATGCCTCTTGAAAGCTTCATGGAGTCCTTTCGGGGCGTCTTGAGGGCCTTTTGGCGGTCCTGGGGGCCTCTTGGAGAGTCTTGGGTGCCTCGAGGGAGCCTCGTGGGGCCTCTTGGGGGTCTCTTAGGAGCCTCTTGAGGTCCCTCTTGGGGACCTCTTGGGGCCTTCTGGGCACCTCTTGGGGCACTCTTGGGACACTCTTGGGAGCCTCGGGGCCATCTTGGGGTCCTTTTCCAAGAGATGTATCAAAGAAGGTGGAGGGGGGGAGAGTAAATAGCCCCCCCCCCAGGAGGCCAAAATTGGTCCCAAACCTATGTGAAATCAATGATGTCTGCCTTTTCGCCGAGGCCATCTTGGACGCTTCAATCGGTCGCGGGGCGCCCCGTCCATGTCCATGCATGGGAGGGCGTATGGGGGAGGGGAATACCCCACCTCGAAGGGGAAGAGGAAAGATGGAAGAACAACCCCCCTAGACCACTCACGCCCAGAGAGCTGGTGGGATTATGTCACGGCTGCTGCTGCTGCCATGCCTCACACTAGCCCGCCGCCCGCTGAAGTTATGTGGCCTCGCGCTCTTGAGCTGATGGCGTGACATCCGCACATCGATTCCTGAAAGCAGGGAACATGCCTTTGGGGGGCAGACTGCGGCATTACATTTCCGTTTGTGACCTCCTCCCGGTATTTGTCCGCTGTTTGACGGTCCTGCGGTTTCGTAGCAATCGTTGGCCCATTCGGGGACATGTTGGCACACGTGCGCATCTCGGATAAACGCTTGTAATCCTTGGTCCTCTTAGCAGGGCCCCCTCTCCCTCCTCTTGTTCCACTTCCACCTCTTCAGCCGTTTCTCAGGGCTCTCGAAGGTGAAAATAGTATTCGTATCCGCGGTCTCGCGGGCTGGGCCCCTGGGCCGCGACCCCGAGGACACGGGGCTTATTTTTGCGGATGCCCCGCGCGGAGTGTCTCCCTGAGACCGCGTATCCGCAGGATCGCGTACCGGAATCCAGACCGTGAGTGCGTGGATGTCATACAGTGGAGACCCATGCCAAGAAACACCCTGCTTGCCTCCAGGGTGCCCTGGGTTTCTGGGGTTTCAATGGTTTTGCTATGGAAAGCGTGACATTCCCATACTAAAAGCCAGTGGACGTCCTGGGGTCTCAGGGGTTGGTTTCTTGTGGAAGGGTTCATGTGGACGGGCCCCTACTGTATGTTCGCCGCTCGTGAGAATTTCTTTTGCTCAAGGAGACAGCCAAGTGCCAGGAAGGGGCCACCGATGCACCGTCGGCGCCGTACTGCAGAATAGCTGCGGTTTGGACCCGAAATGGCTGCTGCTGGGGCTGCTGCTCAGCGTGGCGTCCCAGCCACCCTGCCGCAGGTCAGTATCGTTTAACTGATACCCATCCCCATCCCCATCCCCATCCAGACCCCCACCATCTCATCCTCCAGTTGGAAATATACCCTTCGCAATCTGACAGAAACTACCTATATCCCCATCTAGGGGGGTAAACTGGCCAGTGGGGCGCAGGCCACGCGAGTGGGGATAGGGATCGGTTGAAAGATGCTCAGCAGGACGCAGACGCAGAGATGAACGCGATGCAGGCCTTCATCCGGGGCCAGATGGGCTTCATCCTGGCGCCCATCGGAGATCGTGAGCGAAAAACATATCCGTATCCGCGGCCTTGCGGGCCGGGCCCCTAGGTCGCGACCCCGCGGGCACGGGGCGTTTCTTCGCGCATGTCCCGGTCGGCACGTATCCCGGGGACCGCGCATCCGCGGGATCGTGCCCCGGAATCCAGACCGCGAGGGCGCGGATACGGATCTGTTCGCCGCTCGTGAGGAGAGAGCGTGCGCGACATCGAGGACGATATTGGGCAAATCAAGGCCGCGGTGGAGCGGGAGCGCCGACGCGGCGACGGTCTCGAGGCTAATATCAAAGACGACGGACCCAAATTAGAGGAGCTCCTCGAGAAGGTGAAATCGAACGACGACCGCATTGACCGGTTGGTCGAGGACGTACCCGTTATCAGGCAGGAGAAAAGCCGATTGGAGGCTGACCACGAGGTCACAAAGGCAACACTCCAGCAGACGCAGGCCGCCATCCGCGCCATGGACGAGAGATCTCAGGCGGGTTTAGGGAGAAGATCCATCGCTCAAGAGCTTTGTGGAATGCCCTCGGGGCGTTCCAGAGTGCTCCGTGCTCCGGAACGGCCGCAGCGTCCGACACATCCTCCAGGCACGCCAGCTCCCAGAGGACCCCGGCTCATCGTAGCTGGATGCCGTGTTTTTTTTGGCCGTCGTCCCGAGTCGCAGGTCATGTCGCTGGACCTGGAGTCCCTCAAGGCCGCGGTGCTCCGGCTGGAGTTCGCCCTGCAGAGTGCGGGGAACGCCCAGGCCGCCAGCGGAGAGCACATCGCGGAGATGAAAGACTTCTGCGAGGGCCTGAACCAGCGCCACATAGACTTGGTGCAAGACCTGAAGGATCTCGTGGGCAGGAGCCCTGTTCATATCCACGTCCTTGCGGCCTGGACCTGTTGGCCTAGTTCCCATGGATACAGAACGGCTTTGCGCGGATGGCTCGCGCGGAACGTGTCCAGCAGATTACATATCCATGGGATCGTGCCTCGGTGTCCAGTTTGGCATACAGTTGGATATGATCGTCGCTCGTGAGGATATCAGCCGTTCTGGCGCTGCCACGGACAGGGCCCTGCAGACGTTCCAGCAGGAGTACGCCGAGCAGAAGCAGGTGCTCGTGGAGGGGGCGCGGAAGCTCGAAGCCCAGGCGTTGGGGAACGCCAACACTATATACAATACAGATCCAGGGAGAGCGCGTGCGCTAATCCACGGCTTGGCCAGCATAGGTGCCGATACACCATGAAGCAGTACTCACACGCCGCGGCCAGCCAGGGCGAGAGTTGGAGGAACACATGTGGCCTCGTGTCTGTCCAGCGCTCGGCTTTCGCATTGACATGGCACACGGGGCCTCGCAAGGATTTGTGTTTGTTGCACGGGTTTGCTTGGTGTACGGGTTTGCTTGGTGCATTGCAGTGTCACCATCGTTCGTCAAAGGGGGATGCGCTTGTTCTGTGGAAAGAAAAAACCCACATGTTTAATGCATGAACCCAGCCATGTGCGTTTTTAGCTCTCTGATACAATTCGTGTTCTCCCAAGGCGGTCGATATGGAGAATCAGTTCGTCGCGAAAGTCCAGACAATTCGGAGCGACTTTGACGCCATTCAGACCGACATCACCAGGCTGAAGGCACTACGTCTCTCGCAGGATGCCGCGGACAGGAGGATCAAACAGCTGGAGGACCTCCAGGTCCAGGCCTCGAGCGAAAGGGGTTCCCTGACGGACGAAGTGAGCGTATTTCGGCAGGAGCACGTCGAGCTCAACAAGGAGCTCACGTCTTTGAAGAAACACGTTTTCGAGTCGACCCGAGCGCTCGAGGACTCCGCCCGGCTGGCCGATCGCAGCCGGGCGGACCTGAGCAAAAAGCTCGACGTGCACGCTGGTGCCATTGAGCAATTGGGGAGCAGCACGCGGGACCTCCAGGCGGGACAGTCTCAGCTTCAGGCGCACCTGGCCGACGTCAGAAGAGACACCTACAGGCTGCAGGAGTGGCGCAACAAAGATGCGCTCCCAAAGCTTGACAGCAACGCCAAGGAGATCCAGGACGCCCATGCCGGCATCGGGAAACTCAGCAAGGACGTCGGCGTCGCAAAGGACGATCTGTTGAAGCTCAAGGATCGAGAAAAACAACTACATAAACATACACTCTCGGAGTTTAGCGCAGATTTCTTGGATCAGCGCTGGACCCCCCTCCCTGGCGCGCAGAGCACGCCAGGGGCGACGTCGGAGATGCCGCCGGCGCTGCTCCAGCGCCGATCCAAGAAATCTGCGCGAATCTCTGAGAATGTATGTTTCTGTAAGTATATGCCCTCCTAAAGGAAGACCTGGCGGCCGCGAACGTGGTGATAGCGAAACTCGGCTCGCGATACGATGCCTGCAGCGGCCAAATTCAGGGCATCAGCAAGGGCTTCCAGGACTTACCAGCCTGAATCATATCCCTATCCCTATGATTGGCATCCCCTCATCTCAATGCCGATCTTACGGATTCTCGCAGTTTCTGAGGGCGTATCTTTAATACTGTCATCGATAGTGGGCTTGCCAATCTCAGTGATAGGGATCCGTTCGAGTCTGGTCGAGGACACCTCTCGGAGCGTTGCCACCGGGGCGGACGGCATGATCAAGCCGAAGAACAGGGGCGGCGATCCTGGCGCCCTGGACAGGACCCTGCCGACCTTGCTGCCTGCCGAAGGCGAGGCCGGAGGCTCGGAGGAGGTACGGGTACCTGTGCTGCTGCCCTTGCCGCGGCTTCGGTTCTGTTGGTCATCGTCGCCACGGCCAGATTCGCCTCGACATTTCTCTGGTCAGAACCCATTTTGGGAGAGGTTTGGGGAGTAGCTGTATCGGCATTGTTTTTTTTTCAGGAGGGACATATAGACATTGACACACATAAACATAGATTTCCAGGAGCAGATTGGAGAGTAGGGGAAGTGGATGGGGGAGACAAACAGTTATGACATGTGGAAAACCAGGGGGGATCGTGGGATGTGTGTCTATTGATGTGTGTGTGTGTGTGTCCCTGGGTCCCTCAATCTTCCCCCCCCTCTCATCTGTGACGTGGCATCGGGCAACCTCTTCCCAGTCCTTCGTTTTCCCACGCCCTGGTACACTCCACGTGCGGTTCACAAGCCGCCCTGCTCGGAGAGCCGCCACCGTGCACCTCTTCTCTGCCTGCGCGTCGCTGTGGATGCTTGCCTTCTCCTGCGCGCGTGGGCTTTTGGGCTCCACAAAGGCGAGGCCCGAGGCGGCTTCGGCACCGCGCCGGTGGCCACCCCGCGGGGCGCACGGCACGCCGCGGGGTTCCTCTCCGCTCGGGGCGTGGCGTGAGCGGCCTGTCGGCGGCGCGGCGTGCGGCGGCGCCCAAAAGGGCACGTGCCGTGCGCCCAGGCTTCCGTCTGGCTGCGTCCCGATGAATGCGAGGCCAACTGCCCGCGAAGGAAAAAGCAAGGGCACTTGCTATCCCTCGGCGGCGGGCGAGGGGGTGAAGGGAGAAGGAGAAAGCCTGATCCGAAGGCTCGGAAGCCCCCTCGGCCTTAGGAGGTCTCTGAGCCTCCCCCGAAGGCGCAGAAGACTTCTCCGAAGGCGCGAGGGCTTCCGAGAAGTCCCGCCGCCTTCTCAGAAGGCCTTCCCCTTGTCACTTCCCCCCCTCGCACGCCACCGAGTTCAGTTTTCGGGTCATAACCCAGGTCTCCGGCGGCCGTTCGGGACGATTTGGGTATCTCCGGAACGTCCTCGGCGAGGCGCAGCCGCTGGAACGCATCCCGAGGGCTGCAAACTACAGAGAAGCTACGAAAACGACCGAAAACCTCGAACCTCGAACTTCCCCCCCTCGCTCGCCGCCGAATCCCAGCCCCCCGGGTCTTGAGCAAAAAACAGGGCGGAGGGCCTGCTTACAGCAGCCCGCTGCCCGTTGCAGGGCCCGCCACCGTGCCTGCGGAGCACGCTCCTCCTGGAGGCGGCTGGTTCGAGGCGGGGAGGCAGGCGAGGCGAGCGGCGCGGCAGGTCCTTCGGGGGCCCTCTCGGGGGGGCCGTCTTGGCGTCGTCTTGGGCTCCCGCGTACCCGTCGGTCGTTGAGAGCAGGTGTTCTTGGAGTCCCAGATTCCAGTCTACCCCATCAGGGCAACTGACATAACAATGACATAAACAGAACAACTCGGAGGTCCGCGCGGACCTCCAAGTATGTATGTTTACGTCATTGTTCGTTCCTCTATTCAAGCGCCTTTTTACTTCAATGATCGAGTGGCTTCACCTATTCCGTCCTCCCAAGGGGGTGGGCGGACACCCAATCTGCTTTCAACGCCTTCTACTGCATGTTTCTACCTACGTCTTCCGACCGATGGGTAGGCAGTCTTGGGGATTCTTGTCGGCCCTCTTGAGTCGTCTTGGTTGGGGTCTTCCTGGGCCGCATTCTGTTGATGCCTCTGGGGTGTCTTGAGGCAGTCTTGGGGGGGCCTCTTGAGGCGTCTCGGGGGGCATCTTGGAGGCCTCTGGGGCCTCCAGGGCCTCCTGGAGCTGAGTGGTGGCCCGAGCAGGCGAAGACATCAAATCTAGCAGACGTCATTGGAACATCAATGACGCTGGCCTCCTCGGGCTCTGCTGGAGGTCCTCTCGTGTACGTCTTGGGGGCATCTTGGGCCCGTCTTGGGGCTATCCTGGGGCGGCCTGGGGGCGATCTCGAGCCGTGCTGGAGGCATCGCGTGCCATCTTGGCGGCCTCGGTTGCCTGCCTCGGCCATCTCGGAAGCTCGGCATCGCGGACCCACAGCTTTACATCACGGGGGAGAGCCATGCCAAGAGGCACCCTGCTTGCCTCCAGGGTGCCCTGGGTTTCTTGGGTCTCGATGGTGTTGCTGTGGAAGCCGGCCACGCGCAGAGGGGGGTAGGGGAGGGGGGAAGGCTTCTTAGAAGCACCCCGGCTTCTTAAAAGGCGCGGGCCCTCTCTATACATCTAAGGCTGGCGCCTTCTAAGAAGCAGCCCCCTTCTAAGAAGCCTTCCCCCCTCCCCCTTCCTCGCAGCTCTCGACCCATTCATCGGAAGTGTTGCTTTGTTCCAGCGCTGGGTGGTTTTAGGTGGCGACCACGGGGCCCGAAACAGGTGTCCAAATGCATCCCGACAGCGACACGCCTTCGCCGCGATCTGTCCGAGAGGCCAGATGCCTGGGTCGTCTTTCCCATCCCTTGGCATCGCTCGGACGTGTACCTTTTCTCGCAGCGAGGAGCATCTTGGATCATCTTGTGGCCCAAGAGACGCACGACACCGAAAACTGCACAGAGCACGGACGTCCGAGCGACGGCAAGAGCCTCATCCGCCACCACGGGGGCGCAAGTCGTGCGTTACGGTCAACCCGCAGAGGAAGGAGAGGCAGCCTTCCCAAGGGTACCCTTCGCGTCCTTGCCTCCTCGGTCCATCCTTACCTCCTCCTCCTCCTCCTCCTCCTCCTCCTCCTTCTCCTCCTCCTCCCTCTCCTCCTCCTCCTTCTCCTCCTCCTCCTCCTCCGCCTCCTCCTCCCCTTCCTCCTCCTCCGCCGTCCCTCCCTCCCTCCCTCCCTCAATATCCTCCTCCTCCTCCTCCTTCTCCTCCTCCTCTTGGCCCTTCTCGTTGGCCGCGCCCCGCTCGAAAAGCTTCGAAATGGGCGCCCGAGGCCCTTGCATCCCTCTCGCGCATCCTTCTTACGCGGGCTGACCCTACGCCGGTCCTGGCCAGGCCCCGCCCGGACCCAGGATCCGTGCACGCGCGCTCTCCTGGCGTGGCCAGGAAGCAGGGCTCAGTTCGATTCCTGCGGTTAGATCCGATTCGATTTTGATGGCCTCCGCTTTCGGTTCGATCCGATTTCGGACTCCGAGTTCGGCTCCGATCTCCTCTTGGGCGCACACCAGCCTGCCGATTCCTGCCGGTTCGACTCCTCCCGACTCGGCTGTCGGTTCGACTCTGGGCTCTCCCGGGGAGGGCACCGGCAGCGGTCCCGGGCCCAGGGCGGGCCTTGTCGGAAGCGGCGTGGCGCGCAGGCGCCCCCCGCCGGAGAGGCCCGCCCGCCCCTGGCCTCCCGGGGGCGGGGAGCGGGAAGGGGAGAGGGCATCAGGTCTGGACCTAGACGCTGTTTTGCTGAACTTCGGCGTTTTTTTTATGTTTCCCCTCATTTTCTGTTGTAAGGAGGTTCAGGAAAACAGGTAGGTAGAACCAAACGGACACCAATACGAAACACAACGAACAACAACGTTTACGTCCAGCCCTGGAGGGCGTGTCTTGCATATCTTGGTTCTCCCCGGCGCGCGCTGCTGCAGTACCAGGGCCTGGCCCAGATCGCTCGAGCTCCGCGCTCCGAACATCTTTTTCTTGGATCGCTGCCACCAAGACGCGACGGCTCTAGCAAGCCGACGTTTGTCCAATGTAAGTCCGCCTGGCGAAGGACCCAACCATATGCAGTTGTGAATACCGCAATTGCGAATACCATCTTCGCCCGCGCTCCCTGTGTGGCCACGGCTTCCCGCCGGAGCCCGACATGCTCAGGAACACGTTCATGGTCGTCGTCGCGAGCGCCGACGACGACAAGGACAGCGTCCCTCTGACCGAGGAGCAGAAGCAGGAAAGGGTTTTGAGAGCCATGAGGGAGGAGGTGGCGTTGCACGTCGACAAGGCGGAGTACGACGCCCAGGCGCGGTTGTTGAAGCATCACAACTATGGGGCCACGATGCTCGTGAGGGGTTTGCCGGAATGGCCCGAGGCCGCCGCGCGAACCATGCCAGTGGGGGCCTGCGGTGGAGCTCTTGTGGGGCCACGCTCATCGTGCGGGGTGTGCCGAAATGGCCCGAGGCCGCCATGCGAACCCTGCCAGTGGAGCCTTCGGTGGAGCTCCCAATGGGGCCACGATCTTCGTGAGGGGTGAGCCGACGTGGCCCGAGGCCGCCATGCGATCCCTGCCACTGGCGCCTTCGGTGAAGCTCCCCGCGGGGTCGCGAGGGGTGTGCCGAAATGGCCCGAGGCCGCCATGCGAACCCTGGCACTGGGACCTTCGGTGGAGCTCCCTACGGGGCCACGATCCTCGCGAGGGGTGTGCCGAAATGGCCCGAGGCCGCCATGCGAACCCTGCCACTGGGGGCCTTCAGTGTATCAGGGGAGTGCGCCGGGGTTGGCGCATCTGGGAAAACCCCGATGGGGCCGCGATTCTCGTGATGGGGTGTGCCGGAATGGCCCGACGCCGCCACGCGAACCATGCCAGTGGGGGCCTGCGGTGGAGCTCCCTATGGGGCCGCGATCCTCGCGAGGGGTGTGCCGACGTGGCCCGAGGCCGCCGTGCGAACCCTGCCACTGGCGCCTTCGGTGGAGCTCCTTATGTTGCCACGATTCTCGTGAGGGATGAGCCGACATGGCCCGAGGCCGCCATGCGAACCTTGCCGCTGGCGCCTTCGGTGGCGCTCCCTACGGGGCCACGATCCTCGTGAGGGGTGCGCCGAAATGGCCCGAGGCCGCCGTGCGAACCGTGCCATTGGGACCTTCGGTGGAGCTCCCTATGGGGCCACGATCTTCGTGAGGGGTGTGCCGAAATGGCCCGGGGTCGCCATGCGAACACTGCCAGTGGAACTTTCGTGGAGCTCCCTGTGGGGCCACGATCCTTGTGAGGGGTGTGCCGACGTGGCCCGCGGCCGCCATGCGGACCCTGCCGCTGGCGCCTTCGGTGAAGCTCCCTATGTTGCCACGATTCTCGTGAAGGCTGAGCCGACATGGCCCGAGGCCGCCATGCGAACCGTGCCGTTGGCGCCGTCGGTGGAGCTCCCTATGGGGCCAGGTGAAGGGTGTGCCGAAAGGGCCCGAGGCCGCCATGCGAACCCTGCCAGTGGAGCCTTCGGTGTATCTGGGGGGTGCGCCGGGGTTGGCGCATCTGGGAAAAACCCAGATGGGGCCGCGATCCTCGTGATGGGGTGTGCCGGAATGGCCCGACGCCGCCACGCGAACCATGCCAGTGGGGGCCTTCGGTGGAGCTCCCTATGGGGCCGCGATCCTCGCGAGGGGTGTGCCGAAATGGCCCGAGGCCGCCGTGCGAACCCTGCCACTGGCGCCTTCGGTGGAGCTCCCTATGTTGCCACGATTCTCGTGAGGGGTGAGCCGACATGGCCCGAGGCCGCCACGCGAACCCTGCCATTGGGGGCCTTCGGTTGAGCTCCCTATGGGGCCACGAAGCGCTGTATTGGGTGGGTGAAACGCAGGGAGGAGGAGGAGGGGGAGGAGGAGGAGGAGGAGGAGGAGGAGGAGGAGGAGGAGGAGGAGGAGGAGGAGGAGGAGGAGGAGGAGGAGGAGGAGGAGGAGAGGAGGAGGAGGAGGAGGAGGAGGAGGAGGAGGAGGAGGAGGAGGAGGAGAGGGGGGAGGAGACGCGCGGCACCGTCTTCTCAAAACGAGGACCCAACACCACAGGATGGTTGGGAACAAAGGGGGGGGCACGTTGAGGACGAAGGGAGAGGAACAGGAGGAGTAACAGGAGGCAGAGGAGGGTCACCC